CTGGCATGTTGTAAGTATCCAAAAAAAAAAAAAGAAAAAAGAAAAGAAAAGAAAAAAAAAAAAAACTTGCCCGTCTTGGAAAAGCGGATATAAAACAGGTTCTGACGCGGAATTTAGGTTTGGCTTACAGTAGACCACACCAAGCATCCAGATCACGGCAACCGCAAGCTCGAGGACATTGAGCAGGAAATCTTTGACGCTTGCGTCGATCGCGGTGTACTGGTGGCCCGGGGCTCATGGTTCCGCGCCGAGCAGCATGTACCACTGTCTGGACTCTACTTTCGCGCAACCTTTGCCACGGCTAGCCCCGAAAATATGGACATAGCCACCTCACGGCTTGGCGACGCAGTTCGTAGCAGTTTCCAATATTCGAAATAGGCATAATTCAATTGGTATCATCTCTACGCGCAATGTCCATCTCACCAACTCATCCAAAGTGTACTCCCCCCTCCCCGTGCAAGCAACGCCTTCATCTAACAGTTAGGCACACTGAACCTGACTGAGCTTGAACCCCCCTGGCTGCAGCCTCTGAAAGACACCGAACGGGTCGTATTTCTTGGCAACCGTCTTCATAAAGGCGAAATTTTCGGCCCCATATCCGCAAAGAGGGTCTTGCTTGGGGCTCGCATAATTTAGGTAAATGAATGGGGAGTATGTGCCATGCTTCTGGCCAACAGATACCGCGGCATCGATGAACTTTTGACGTGCGTCCTCCATGGTAGCATCAAGACCTGCATCATTCCATCGAGAGACGAGCCAAAGAACTGCATTATTAGTGACATTTCGGGAACCGCTGACATTCGGGGACATAAATACCTAGCTGATCTTGTTCGACATTCTCCAGCCCAAGCACATTGCCACCCCGAGACTTTGCGTGAGTCTGTTGAATTTGCGGTTGAGGTACAACAGACACCAGCCAGTCAATTCGATCTTTGACAGTTAGGCCATCGTACACGTCGTCGACCGCTTTCCAGAAGTCAAGCAGGGTGTCTTTGTCGTTGGAGACGGTCACGCTCGCAGTGACGTAACGGAAGCCGCGGGGAATTGCAAGGCTAGTCTCGTGTGCCAACTCAGCCAACGATGCATGTCGGCTAGTATCGCGGATTTGATTCGGTAGCTTGAGGAATGGCTGGAGTGCGGGAGGGTTTGCGATATTGGCCGTGTTGGATAACGCAACGTCAACCAGTCGGGTCCCGTTGCGAAGATATGTAGCCACAATCTGGATGCCAGAGTCAAGATCACTGTGGTTTTCGGCTACAAAGTCGACAGTGGCATTCGTAATGGTCTCAATCGTTTGCGCGTGGCCTGACTCGGGACCGCTCAATGCGAGAAGCAGCTGGCCACCCCACATCTCATCAAAGTCGAAAGCAGCCAGGTCAACCTTGGTCACGATACCAAAGTTGGTGCTCCCGCCCTTGAGCGCCTTGTACAGGTCTGAATTGGTATTTTGGTTGGCGTGGACGATTTGGCCCGATGCCAAGACCACTTCATAGTCAATCACGTTGTCGACAACCCAGCCCTTGCCAGCCTGAAACAGAGACTGCCCACCACCAACCGCGAGACCTCCAACACCGACGTCCTCGCAGATGCCTCCTGTAAAGGCGATTTTGTCTTTTTCAAAGGCAGCATAGGCATCCCCCCAGGAGAGGCCAGTGCCGAGGCTGACGTGAGAGCGATCATCAGCCAGGGACGTGGAATTGAGGCTCCTCAAATCAATGGAGACTCCGTTGTCAATGTTGTTGAAACCGGGGTTTGGATTGTGGCCTCCGGACTTAACGGCAAATTGGCATTGCTGTGCTGAGAGAATCTCGACAATAGTGGACATGTCCTTGGCAGAGGCAGGTGTCATTACACAGCCCGGATGCTGCATTGAGGTGATTGACCAACGAGCGGTGATGAGCCTGTCATATTCTGCAGTCGAGGGACCAATGTAGATGGACGGCAAGAAGGCGGCCAGGCTTTGACACTGTTGTTGGTTAGCATCATCTGTCCACTATCTATGCGGTGCGGGCCATACGCAGTCTCTTGTAGAGGGAGCTGCCCGGGCAGCAGCGGCGAGCAGAGCAGGTATGGCAAGCTTCATCATATCGTGCTTTTGCCAAAATACAAAAAAAAATAAAAGGATAACCCGACTGGACCACAAGAGTGAGGAAAAAGCAACCTTTTTAACTACGCGGCTACATGCATGTCGCTTGATGCGGTGCATAAAATCGGGACATTGGCACACTGACAGCAAGCTCCGTTGGGCCAACAAGGCCACCATGTTCCAGACTGGGTCATTTATAGGTAGTCACGACCCAATCTTGGGTTACATTGCGGCCTGGAAAGCTGACGAGTAATACCAAACAGGCTGAGATGTACTGCTGGGATGTTAGGCTCTTGGCTTGCTCGTAAATGCAACGTGATTGCTAAAAAGTAGGCTGCCGTCGACGGCAGCCTGCTTCCTGCTTGACGGCTGACGCGCATGATGGAAGGTATCACTACAGCTTGTTCGGGCGCAAGCATTGATGATCAGTGCAGCCGTTGGGGACCCTCAGACGTGGCTTGGATCTGTGTTTCTAAAGGCTAAAGGGCGAATTTCTTGTGACTGCCAGATTACATGTGCCACACACCCACTCTTCGAGATCAGTGTAGCAATTGGGAACCCTCAGACGTGGCTTGGATCTGTGTTTCTAAAGGGCGATTTTCTTATGACTACCAGATTACACGTGCCACATACCCACTCTTCGAGTTAGGTGTTAGATACACTAAGGTAGCGGCCACCATACACTAGCGGCCACCATACACTAGCGGCCACCATACACTAGCGGCCACCATACACTAGCGGCCACCATACTACCACACAGAGAGTATTTACTCTAATAAAAAAGATATAAAGGCATTAAAATTATAACTTAAATATAATAAAATTATATACTATATAAAGTATCTATATACTAAATATAGTAATTTTAAGTATTTTATTTATTTAATTACTTTTTAAAAACTTAAAGTTTAATATAAAAAGCTTTATATTTTAAGATAATAATTTTATAAAAATAATTATAAAAATAACTTTTATTTTTTTTAAATAAATTATATTTTTATTATATAAAAGATTTTTTAAAATATTTATATCTTTTTTTATTATTAAAATCTTTTAATATATATTTAAAAAAGATCTATATTTTAATAATTAATTATTAATTCTAAGTAAATAATATAATTATAGTAATTTAGGATTAATATAATTTAATAATTTAATATTATTTTACATATCTAAGGATATTAATAATATTTTTGAGTAACTTAATATATGTAATAGAAAATATTTTTACTTTATGGCTGCGGGTGTATAGTGGTCGCGAGACTATCCAGCTGAGAAGTCTCGGGGGTCCACCCTGCTGACAAACATGACCGCTCACATAGAACGCGAAAGAATAAATCACGTGACTAGAATAAATTTGCCCCATTATTATTCGCCTTTCGCGGCGGGACAAGGATATTGGTATGTGCTTCAAACCTTTGCCCAAGCACAGAGCAGTCATCTTTCCCTCTTACTCAAAGAAACCGGGGCAACATCTCACAAGCTCATCCGACGGAACTAGCGACCTGTTTTTATACGACTGCGCGATCCTTGAGCGATAAAACCGAGTACCAATCTTTGGATCTCGGCTCCTCAATCCCGGCGACTTAACGCGTCAAACACAACCACTCGTCGCAATGCCTGTCGAGGTCGCTTTCGACTCGCCGCTGGCGGCAGCCATCAACACGGCGATTCAACCAAAGCTACAGCAAGTGGGATGGGCCAGTGAGCAGGATGCGTCTTCGCTCGCTGAGCTGATTGTGCTTATGCTCGCCAACGGCAAGTCGGAAGAAGAAATCGCCGCCGAGATGGCCGGCGACTTGCTGCATTTAGAGCCTGGCGATGCCACGGCGCGCGAATTTTCGAAGTGGCTTTTCCAGCAAATCGATGAGCTCAATGCGCAGATTAACGGTGCCCCCCAACCCGCCGAGGCCGATGTCGACATGGACACTGAATCACTGAACGCGTATGTTCACAGACGTACATCATCGAATGCTTTTTCATGTGCTAACTTTTCCAAGTCCCACTGGCCCCCGCGCGATGCGAAACGGACAGCGCGGCGGCAGAGGTGGCCGCGTGCTCGGCAATGTCAACAGAGCGATGGAGCGCACCGATCCCCTTCACCGCATCCGCCAAAACGGCAATGAAAGAATCAACTCTCACAACCGTCAGGGTCAGCGTGGGCGCGGCGGTCGCATGAACCCGCGAAATCTCCAAGCAGGTCTTGCCGCAGGCCCTCAGCAATGGATGATGGGCCAAAACGGAATGCAGCCGAGCCAGTCTGACCTCCTCGCCATGCTCGAGCAACAAAACCAAATGATGTTCCAGATTTCGCAAATGATGAACGGTGCACCCAATGCACCCCCCAACGGAGGCGGCTACGCCCGCGGGCGGGGTGGCAAGTCGTTGTTCGACCGCGTGCAAGACCCGAATCACAGACAACGGAAGCCGCAACTCGGTAATCAAGAGACTGCTGGCGGCGAAAATACCGAGGGCGGCGAAGATATGGATATGTCGGGCCGCGAACCTCCCAACCCAGATGAGACAGTCTGCAAATACAACCTGCGTTGTACCAACAAGGAATGCAAGTTTGCGCACCAGTCGCCAGCGGCACCGCCAGGGACGTCGGTCGATGTCAACGACCCATGCTCCTTTGGCGCCGCCTGCAAGAACCGCAAGTGCGTCGGCCGCCACCCGTCACCAGCGACCAAGCTGGCGCACCAGAGTGAACAGGATTGCAAATTCTTTCCCAACTGCCAGAACGCGCATTGCCCTTTCAAGCACCCATCGATGCCACTGTGTCGCAACGGCGCGCGCTGCACCACAGAAGGGTGCAAGTTCACTCACGTCAAGACCAAGTGCAGGTTCAACCCTTGCCTGAACCCTCACTGTCCCTTCACCCACGAAGAGGGTCAGCAAGGTGGCTTCAAGGACAAGGTGTGGACTGCGCAAGGCGAGCACGTCAGCGATCGCAAGTTTGTGGAGGATGCTGGGTCGGAGGAACTGATTAAACCAGATGATGAGATGAAACATGATACCAACCAGGCTGCGGAGGTCCCGGTGCAAGGAGATGTCATTGGGTAGATGTACATTATGTCAACATTATTGGGTGGCGTTCAAGGGTGGGCTGTATATATGGAAGTGCGCTCACTGAAAGCGTGTGTTTAATAGAGCTGCGAACTTACTTGGGCACATAAACGTGCCCAGAAGCTACAATCTTTGTTCTACCGGTCTTGTGCATGCGAATTCGACAGCGTCTGCGTCTATGCTTGTGCTTTTTCTTGTGGGGAAGCGAAGCAGATACCATGTGCTGCCGGCATTTCGTTGTGTCTGCATACGACTGTAAAACTTGCATTCAGTAGAGCCTTGTAACAATAGAAGATAATAACACAAAGTCTAAATCACTAGACCATTCATACCCCTGCCGATTCGTAGCCGTGTCAGACACTAGCGTCACGCCGAGTCCAGACACGGGTCACCGTGATGATGGCTTGTCACCGCCGTCACACAAAGCTCCACACCGAGCTTGCGGCCCGTCCTTGACCACCTCACGCCACAAACCACCCACAAAAGAAACCCTTCCCTCCTTTTCCCCCCACGGGCATGAACCTTTTGAAGACATGAGCAAGAGTCGCTGCACACGGGAAGCGGCGGCAATACTGCGTCTGACGCGGCGGCTGCAGCCTGCGCGACTGGCGTCTCAAGTAATCACACGACAGCAGCAGGTTCGGGGGCTCAGCCGCGTTGCGCCCCCGAGCGACGGCAAGCAGGTCGCCGTCATTGGCGGCGGCCTCACCGGCCTCACGACGGCCTACCTGCTCGCGAAGCAGCTCCCGGAGTCGGCGTACATTACCCTGTTCGAGTCGAGCGACCGCCTCGGCGGATGGATACGGACCGACGAGGTGCGCGTCAACGTCAATGGCACTCGGGGCGTCGTGCCCTTTGAGCGTGGTCCGCGAACCCTGTCGTCGCTCCGCGGCAACACCTGGCGCTATGATGACCTTGTACTTTATGAACTGGTACGCGTCTTGCTTTCTCAATTCCCCCTTCCTAGGGGTCTGCGGCCATGTCATCTAACACTGTCCCTTTTTTTTTTGTTATATACTAGATGCTCGATCTTGGCCTCAAACCCTCATACCCAAAGGACCTGCCCCGGTACCTCTACTACCCAGACCACCTCGTCAAGATGCCGCCCGACGCGTCAGTGTTTGACTGCCTGACCGAGAGCCTCTTCCGCGAGTGCATATGGGGCGCGCTCGGCACGGCCGCGTCGTGGGTGACGGGCCGGCACCGGGGACGGCTGCCCGCGCATGACCTGTCCGTGGCGGATTGGCTGCGCCTCATCACGTCGGACGGCGCCGTAGGCAACAACCTCGTGTCGGCCATGATCCACGGCATCTACGGCGGCGACATTGAGCGCCTGAGCGCGCGCAGCGTCCTCGACCGCATGTACTACAACCTCCACCTGCGGCCCGCCGAGTCTGGCCAGCGCCACGTGCCGGTCCACGAGCTCGCCTTCATGAACCACATGGTCAAGGACGCGATGGTCTGCGCAGAGGCCAACAAGCCCAAAGGATCGCTGGTGCACTTTGGAGCGCAGGGCATGGAGGCCCTGCCCAGGGCGCTCGAGGGAGCCCTCGCCGGGCAGCGCAACGTCAACATTCTGCGGCGGGCCTCGGTGATGGACATCAAGCCCGCCACCAATACTGGTCGCATTGGCGAAGAAAACAAGCTTCAGGTAAAACTTCTCCATTACATACTGGGGAAAAAGACGCGCTCTGACACAACAAGATAGGTGCATTTTCGCCATGCGTCGACTCCTGGAGAGGAGGTGGCCCAGATCTTTGACCACGTCGTTTCCACTACATCCAGCGACGCCCTGGTCAACATGACCGGCGACGCCTTGTCAACCCTCTCCGGCATCGAGTCCGTGTCCATCATGACAGTCAACCTGTGGTACCCCACCCCCGACATGAAGCCTCCCGGCTTCGGCTACCTCATCCCGCGCTCCGTGCCGCTAGAGCAGAATCCCGAGCGCGCGCTCGGCGTCTTCTTCGACTCCGACGTCATCAGCGAGCGGCGGCCCGACGAGCCCCCCGGCACCAAGCTCTTCGTGCTCATGGGCGGCCACCACTACCGCGGCCGGGAGCCGCCGTCCGAGGACGAGGCCATCGTCCAGGCCAAGGCCCTCCTCGAGCGCCACCTCGGCATCCCGCGCGACACGCCCTGCCTCGCCATGGCGCGCCTCGCAAGGGACTGCATCCCGCAGCACAACGTCGGCCACGTCGCCCTGCTCAAGGCCGCCGACCAGCAAATCACGTCGGCGTTTGGCGGCAGGCTCACCGTGGCCAATGGCTCCTACGGCCGCATCGGCGCCATGGGCGCCCTCCGCAACGCGCACGGTGCCGCGTACACTGTCATCTCTGACCATCGGTACTCGGGCTTGGATGACTTTATACGTAATCCTACCATTGTCGACGTACCGTTAGAGACAATTCCATGTCGCCAACCGCAGGCGAAAGCTTAGGAAGAAAAGAGAGGTAGTGAAAAGGGTTGCATGTATATAGATAGATGGTCACATCTTTGCTTGGGTTTCTCTGTACAAACAAATGTACAAAACAATGTTAATTTCCTCTTTTTTGGTCATTACGTCTAAGCAATTGGTATCATATCCGCAGCCTGAGCCTATCTTATGCGAGAGAAAAAAACGATACATACAAAGCGTTTATTCCAAAACTACCACGTCCTTGCCACTGTTTAGGCTCTGTGACGTGCGTTGCGTAAACGACGGGTTTGTCGAAGATTGTGTCGGCACCGCCGTGGACGAGTCGTCGACAACAACGGAACGCACCGCGTCATCCACCGCAAGTAGCATGCCAACCACGCCGCTCTCGCATCGCGCTGCCGCGCCCGTCGACAGGCCAATCCATCCTGGGCCGCGCCCGTTCCACACGCTTCTGAGCGCTGCAGCGTAGGCATCGTCATCGTCGCTTTCAGAGGGCGCGATGCCGTCGTGGGAGCGCCAGACATGCCACCAGGCCTCGCCCCGACGGGTCTGTGTGCGCACCTGCAGCAGGATGACACGCTTCGTGGGCGACGGGCCAGCAACGGTCATGGTGTACTGTAAGCTCAGCCACGACAGTGTCTTCATGGCAAAGTCGACCCGGCCAAGTCGTTTGATCTGCATATCCTCCCAGCGGGTCTCGATGCTGCTTACAGCCTCGAGCGCCCGCAGTGACGCGGGGAGCCACCTCATAAGGGCCCCTATGCCTCCGTCACTGTTGACGAGCTGCTGCATGAGGTCGACCACGCGCAGGTGCGGGTTGCCGCGCTCAATCTTAATGGCGATGTCATCCTTGGACAGATCCAGTGTGATGCGCCACTGCTGCTTGCTTTCGCTGTCAATGCTACCGGCTTGGTAGTATAAGAAACGTATCTCCTTTAGCGTCACCAGCTCGCCCACAATCGATCCTTTCGACTTGTCCATCGCTTCCAGAAAGTTGACGAACCGGTCAATAGCCTTGATTCGAGACTTGAGGAGCGCCAGGACAGGTTCACCTACGGCATGTTGCACGCGGAGGCAAAACTCGCCCAGTTTTGCATTATAAAGCAGGTTCCCGTCAACGGTCCCCTTGAGCGCGGCAAACTTGGACGGCTTGCGCACGCGAAGGACAGCTTCTGACAGGCACATCAGGCTGTCATCGGTTGATTCAATACCCGTGAATCGGATAGTGACAACATCGTTCGCCCATGGCTGGCGGTACTCGGATTTGGAGCCACCATTGTGGACAATGCTCGGAAACATGGCTGATAGGGCGACTTGGATGGAGGGCAGCTGTAATTGTTGTGGTAGCGCAAGATTGATGCTGTCATTTGTCCTGCTCTTGATGCGAAGACGATGCAGCTCGCGCATATCAACTGCTTGCGCAATCATGCCAGTAGCAAATATTGCCAAGTTGCCCCAGAAAGCGGTTGAAAAGTCTGGGTGTCCCTTACTTAAAGGCAATCTGGCTTGAAATTTGACGGTGCGACCCGGTTCATTGCGGTTTGCTTCCAGCAGCCACCACTCGTCGCCGCCAAGTCCAAGAAAGATAGCCATATACCAGCTTTCCCCCCAGCCCTGTTTGCGCATCCAGATCGTCCGAGTCCAATCGCGCATTTTTGTGACAGACTTTACTTCTTCCACAGACAGAGGCATTTTTTGAGTCTGCCAGCCCATCGTGTTGCCGCGGCGGTGTAGCTCATCCTCCATCATGGCGCAGCGTACATTCTCCAAACACGCCGCGCCGTCGTCGGTAGAGTTCTTGCCGCTGTTTAATTGATGTTCATACGGAATCGAGAATTTGGACTGCGGCTTCACGGCAAATATACCTGTCGTCGGTTCTACCAGCAGTGTCGTCGTAGCGTTATGGCTGACCTGCGTTGTGAGCATGCAGTCGCCGGGGTTTGTATTCGAGATGCGCAGATTCATGGCCGCCTCATGTTGCTTGAAACGTGGCGCCTCAAGCAGCTTATCGCGGATGTTCTGCAAAATATATCCAATATGTCGTCCAATCACTTCTTTGAGCAGAGACTCAGCTGAGAGGGTGCCGACGTCGAGAGTTAGCTTAACGTCTTTGACTTCCTTATTGTCTCTATACCACTTTGCCACCAGGTAGCTAGGTGACTTTTCGTCCACTTTGCCGTTCTTCTTTCCACTGTTAATAGCAATGAGCACCCAGCTTTTGGTAGTTGTTGACCGCGACGACCAGTATTGAATGGCCAAGGCACGGTTGAGCGGCTCGACCACTAGGGTACCGTCCCAAGACGTTCTGCTCAAACGCAGGGCCTGGCGCTTGAGTTCGGTAATCTTGGCTGTCAGCACCATCTCATGTAGAAATTGATAGCAGCCCGCTAGGCCATTCCTCGCTAGTGCGTCGTTGACGTAATTTTCTAGGTAGTTTCGCAACCCCTCGGAGAGAGACAAGGCCGAAGGTCTGAAGGTGTATCGGAAATCGATGAACCAGAATTGCTTGTCAGTGTCTTCGTCGGCAATCGTCAATTCCACTTCGAACTCGTCGGGCACCTTGAATGTGACGCGGCCAGACCCGATTTCGTAGTTGCGAAACTGATGTGGTATTTTATCGTAATCTTGCAAGTTGAGTCGTAGGCTCAAGCGCGTATTTAGGTCTTTTATCCAACGCAGCTTCTCGTCGGCCGTCAGAGGGGGAGGTTCTATATATTGATGCTGCAACTATTAGCGAAATTTCACCCGGCGCAAGATTGAATGCGACGTACATCTGGTATCCATGGAGCACTTCCGGTGGATAATACTTGCAATGCCGTCTTGAGATCAGGAGCGGGCATGCGCGCATACGTCAGATCTCGCTTGACATTGACCATGTTGTCCAAGCACACGTCGTAGTGGACGCGCAGCTGGTCCATGTGAAATTTCAAGTCAATTAGCTTGCTGACCATGTTCGCCCGGCGGCTCCATTCCGTGATGACGAGCGCCTTGACCCATTTTGCGTGCATGTCTTGCGCAAAGTGTAGTAAGGTCGCCTTTTTGCGCAGGTTCTCGGCCGAGGTGTCGTCGGGCGCGCTCGAAGTGAGGTTGGTCGCGCCGCCGTTCAGTGCGGACGCCGGGATCGGCATCTTGCTCAGCTCCGCCACCTTTTCCTGCAGCGAGTTATGCGTAACCTGCGCCAGCCGCGTGAGGAACGCTGACAGCGGGATAAAGCCTTGCGTGATGTGGGTTATTTCGTCGGGAAGGTCGTTCATGCGCGGCGGATCGGAGGGGTTGCCGCTGGCCTTGGCCTTGCCCTTGTGATCTGGCGCGGCGCGCTGATCCACGACATCTTTGACATTGCTACTCAGCCGGTCGTGATCAGTGCGCCCGCTGCCATCACCATTTTCCATCTCGAGGACGCCAAGCCCTCAACAAGTCCGCGGGTCCGCCTCGTTTTAGGTTGATGTGCTTCGTGATGCAGGCGTCAGCCAGCAGGGCATCGCGGGCGACGCACCAGTGCAAATGATGAATGAGTGCGAAATTCTAATAAGCGTCGAATGCTGGTATGCGCGACAGAGCATTTGATGGCGGTTACGATGCGGGTGCGCGATGTGATGTCAAGATGTTTGCAAGGGTGAGAACAAAGTCATGTGAGGCTGGTGAGGCCGCGTCCGTGCACGGACCACCTTTGTACGACGAAATATTTACACATACGAACTTAATACTGAAACACAAATTTGTTGCAAGACTAACTACTACTGGCATTGGCGCATTTTGATAACGTTGAGAAAGATCGATCATGGGATTCATTTCTATTCAAGCACAATCGATCAACTAATTCTGTTTTCATAGCCTATACATTATGATATCTGCCTATCTCATTGCTCAACTGACAGCTGTAAGCCACGAGCGCCTCAGCGATGGAGGTCCACTTACAACTTGTTGCTGCTGCTGCTGCTATTGTTGTTGCTAGGCACAGCAGATGTTGTCGGCCACTGATAACCGGCAGCATCGCTGAATTTGTATCCATATGAAGCCGTGAAGTCGTCGAGCACAGCAGGGCCACGCGAGCCTATCTCGTTAGTGGTGGAACGTGGACAAGGGGAAGGCGGGTGTCCTTACCGTATGGGTATTCCATTGGGATAATTTCCTTGTTGTCGTCAAGGTAGTGCAGAAGAGGGGTAAAGATGCGCCAGCTGGCATCGAGCTCGTCGTCACGGACAAAGTTGGAGTGGTCACCCTTGAGGCAGTCCAGAACCAGCGACTCGTAGGCCTCGGGAATCTTGAGATCGGAGAAGCGGCGGCGGTAGGTGAGGTCGAGTTCGGTAACAACGGTTTGCATGCTGAGACCAGGGAGCTTCGAGTTCATCTTGATGTAAACACTCTCGTTGGGCTGGATGCGCATGACCAGCTCGTTGCGAGGAATGTCCTTGAAGATGCCAGAGGTAACGTCCTTGAACTGGATACGGATCTCGGTCTTCTGCTCGTTTAGGGCCTTACCAGCCTTCATGATGAAAGGAACACCGTCCCAACGCTCATTCTTAATGTAGGCGACCAGGGCGCAGAAGGTAGGGCAACGCGAGTCCTGAGGTACCGTATCGTCTTCCTTGTAAGCGGGCTTGCTGCCGTCGAGCGAGCGTCCGTACTGGCCAATGATGACATTCTTGGGCTCAAGAGTAGGGATAGCGCGGAGAACGCGCACCTTTTCGTCGCGGATATCCTCAGAGTCGAAAGAGACGGGGCGCTCCATGGCCAGAAGGGTCAGGACCTGAAGTAGGTGGTTCTGCATGACGTCACGGATGATGCCGAACTCGTCAAAGTAACCACCGCGACCTTCAGTACCAAAGGGTTCTTTAAAAGTGATCTGGACATTGTCGATGTGATGACGGTTCCAAGTCGCGCCGAGGAAGGAGTTTCCAAAGCGCATGATCAAGATATTCTTCACCATCTCCTTGCCCAGGTAGTGGTCAATTCGGTACAGCTCTTCCTCCTTCCAGTCGGGCTCGAGAGACTTTTGCAGCTCGCGGGAGCTGGCCAGATCCTTTCCAAACGGCTTCTCGACAATTACACGAGCAATGCCATTGGAAGGGTAGCAGCACTTCTTGAGGTGCTGAGAGACGATTGTGAAGACGGATGGTGGAAGAGCCATGTAGAAGAGGCGGTTGTGCTCGGAACGTCCCTTTTCCAACTCCTCCAAGTGCTTCGTCAGACCCTCAAACGACTCATCCTTATCGTACTGGCCAGAGACATAGGAGCAGACCTTGGTGAAATCCTCGAGCTGCTGTTCAATCTCTTTGGTAGGGGTCTTGATGTATGACTTGATCCGGCGGAGATACTCCTCGTGGTCCATTTTCGTTCGCGCATAGCCAACGATTCGCACATCTTTGGGAAGAAACTGGTTTCGGTACTGTAACTAGTCAGAAGGAAGCCCCCATGGTTGGGTCGCTAGCAAACATCCTTACCAGGCCGAAGAGGGCGGGGTACTAGTTTGGTCAGCATTTTATGCTCTGGAAGAGAAATATTTGCGGATTCTTTCAACGTACTGTCTTCTTTTTCGCCAGGTCGCCGGAGGCGCCGAGAACGACGATTGTGGTGTTTTCCTTGAGCTCCATGGCACTTGGTGTTGTTAGCGGTAAAGAGAGCTCGATGGTGGGGGAGGGGCCTGGGGAGAGGGCATACGGAGAGGTTTGCGACATTGCAGCGGGGGTGGCTGTTTCGGAAGTGAGTCGCAGACAGGCAGGAAATGTGTAAGGGTATGTAGCTGTCCTCGAGAGGAATATGGAGGGATGAGAAGGGTGAAGCTGTCCGAAAAGAATGTTGAGTTGTTGACGGTTGAGCTCTGGGGCGGGATTTGCTCACTAATCGTATCGCTAAGCTATGATGCGCTGATAGCGAAATGCTCAGTCAGACTCTAACTACCTGTTACAGCGGATTCTTTGGCCCCACCCCGGACCTTTGGCCGGCCGTATCTACGAGGGATTTCCAGGATCCCCCCGGGGTTAGGTATCTTGGCCAAGAAGAGATGTTCTGCGTTTGACAATGCTGGAATCGCCTAGATCCTGAGTATTTGCATCAGTTGCGGCGAATTCTGATGTTTGCAGCCTAGATCGCTGTGAAACACCTCATATCAGCATGCAAGCTGATACCTAAGTGCCCGCATTCAGCGAGTACTCGACGTATGCACTGTAGCGTTTTTGCTGGGCTTTGTTTGGTCTGCAGCTGATCCGAAGATGCCGATGTGGCGTAGGTGGCTGGTGAGCTGACCCCACGGCTGGTCGCACTGTGGCGGTGCGGCCACAACGGAGCCAAAGTCAGACTGCCCTAAGCAGACACGTGACGCAGAGGGCATGAATTTTTCGGGCTCTGCGAGTCCACCACACAACCATTATCGCATCCACCTGGAACCTCCTAGTCCGACTTGACGACACAACCACCGACGACTAACCAGAACAGAGGGACAGGTCTTTTCGCTAAGACGTCTTTCCTACGACTTTCTTTATAACGGCAGCGGTGGAAAAAACAGACAAGATGCCTTCCGAAGCCGGTCACAGATGTACGTTATACCGAGATGCAGGATATCGCGATCTTGAAGATGGAGATGCATCTTCAAGGGTGACGATGGCATAATGACCCTGTGCTAACATTATCATAGTATACGTCAAGTGAGTGCGACCACGTTCGATTTCGGCCGATTTGTTACGAGGATCCGATGTTACGAATTGCGGCTCGAATAGCGAACGAAGGAGTCTTAACGAATTGTGCGCTGACCAAATACTGCAGGGGACGTCACCTGAGCTACCAGCGCTCTCGTCACATCACCCGTCCTGGCACCTCCCTCATCAAGATCGAGGGTGTCGATGACATCAAGGGCGCCAAGTAGGTCACCCCGTGCCGGGATCCGATAAGCGATTGTGTGTGCGACGCAGAGTATCGGCTAACCCCATGAAACAGCTTCTACCTTGGAAAGCGTGTCGCTTTCGTCTACCGCGGCCAGAAGGAGATCCGTGGCACCAAGATCCGTGTGATCTGGGGCAAGGTCACCCGCCCTCACGGTATGTTTTCTTGGGCAAAGAGGAGAATCAGTGTATAGCAAACACATGAGCGATGGTGATTCTAACTCATTCTAGGCAACTCTGGCGTTGTTCGTGCCAAGTTCTCTTCTCCTCTTCCCGCTAAGTCTTTCGGCGCTTCGGTTCGTGTCATGCTGTACCCCTCCTCGATATAATTACAGGCATGGGGATGGAGTTGGTACTAGGCGGTTTGATTTTGGCTGCATTGGAGGCAAGGATATAAAAAATACCGCCTTGCGTTGAAAAGGCATTCAATTAAAAAGACGTCAAATCATTTACTTTACGACCACGGATACTGAACGATGCGATGTGTGAGGCCCGACAAGTTATACGGGTGATTGGTGATGCGAAGCTGGGACATGGAATACGAGATGGCTTGGTGCCTGGGGTGTGACGACGGAGAGACGCAGGGCACATGACAGTTTGGGACTACAAGTTCGAACGACTACGAGCGAATGAGCGAACGTCCATTATGGACTAGAGATGATGTCCCAATAGCTCACGGCAAGCAGTAGGCCCAGGAGCACAACCTCGACCGGACCACATATAACCCAAAACATGCCAAAATTTCGCTCACCAGCTGCCCAAGAACCGCCCATGCTAAAAACTGCCGCCAGTGAAGAGACGGGGAGGAAGATGACGCCGATGATGGCGAGGACGAGCAGAATCTTGTTTTGCACGCGCGTGCGGCCGGCCTCCATGACCGTCGTCTCTGCTGTGATGTGTGTCATTGTGCTCTGCAAACGTAGATGGATCTGCGTCATTGTGTGCTCCAGCGCGCAGAGGTCCCTTTGCAAGTCTGATGCCGTTTGTCTCGTTGTGAGCCGTTGCGCCTCTGTAGAGTTGTGCGTCGTGCACCAGATGGGCCGGCCGTGGATGGCAGCCGACTCTGCGCAGTGTTTGATGAGGGAGCAGTAATGCGACATGCGGCGACGGGAAAAGAACATGTCGCGCATGGCGTTGCGGAGATGATTCACGTCGTTCTCGTAAGCACCACTGCCGCGCTGTAATGCCCACTCAATAGCGTTGAGATCGCGCGTAAAAAAAGCCGCCAAATGAGCCCACTCGTGGATGACAAGCCTGTACAAATCCTCTACGACAACCAGCGGCCCTGGAATAGCACTCGAGTTGAGAGTACTATTCTGCTTCATGCACTCTAATAAAAGGTCCGCCGGAGAGCGGGTGTGAGGGGTCCCATAGTATCGGCCATTGACGATGGCAAATGGAACCTGCAATTGGCATGACAGCCCCCAGAACTCCGGATGCCTGTCCAGTAGAATGATGCCTGCTCGATCAGCATGTGGCAGTCTTGCTGAAATGCTGCAGACGTACCAAGCCTCCACGGCCGATCCTCACTGCTGTCAAACCAAGCGGTAGCCGAAGTACGCGTAAGAGCCAGAGGCGCAAACGTAGTCGTCTCCCCACTAAGTTCGCGACGCTGGACCGGATTCATCGGACCAAAGTCCCGGTCATCCCGCCACGTTCCGAAATCTTTGGCAGCTTTTTGGATCATAGAGTAGTCGAGACGCATAGACTTGTCAAATTCTCGCGCGAGTACGTAACTAAATGTCAGGTGGGTTTGCTTTGCGAGTACAGACGGCATTTGCAGTATTTTTGGCCGTACTTGTGTAAAGTTGAAGGAGGGCTGATCATGGAAGAAATCGTCCAGGCACTGTAAAAAAGAACGTTTTTGAATGATGTAAGAGTCCCAGAAGTAACGCAATGTAGCAGTGTCAGGTTGCTCAATGATGAAGGCTTGAGTCGTACTCGTATCAGGGTCGCCCAGCTGGACATTGCTACGGTAGCGAGGACCGTCTTGGAAGAACTCGACATGATGAATGCGGGCTACGGCGGTGAGCATCAACAAGCCAGGCCAGTCACGGAACGAGCACATACTTCTTCCATTACAACAAAATCCAGTTGCCGTCCAAAATTTATGGAGGTTTGGGAAGTGTTCATACTCTTGAGGTGTGAGGATATGCTTCATGTCGACATCACAACACTAATCCGTAGACTACAATCTGTGACGACGGTGGAGACGAGGACCGGCGAAGCCGGGTATTTATGCGCACAAGTCATCGCGAATCGTGCTGTAACAATGTGCGGCTGAAGTGAGGCTGTTGGGGCTGCTGATGCATTGCTGCAGCCACTTGCCACGCAATAATGCAGCGTCGTAGGGTGGTGCATTGTCAAGATTCTTGTTTCATATGCTTAAATCTGGTGAAACAACGTTGCCAAAGCGCGGGGGGGTCTCTAGAGGCACGAGGGTTGAGTTTTGCGGTGCGAAGTGGAGTGCACCATAGTAGGAGAGTGGTAGATCAAACCGAGTCTTGTGTGTGAGGGATGCGGCAAATGAAAGGGATGTAAATGCCACGGGAGCCGCTGTGGTTGTTGCAGTCGTCAGCTTCTTGCGATTGCCATTGTTGGGATATTGCTTTTAGTGAGTGAGCGGCAGGCGGAATGCCTTTTGCGGTGATCAACATGGCATGATGATGGCCTTTTCCTGTCGCGAGCAGCGACCAGATCGGCGTGGGATGAGGCTGGTTGGTTGGCACTGGCACCTAGTTATGTAGCGTAGGAGCCACCCATCCCCCAGCCACTTGCTGGTGGACAAGAGAAGCAGGCATTCCGGACGATTTGCAGGCTGTCGGTTCCAACGTGGCCAAGAGTAGGACTTAGTGATGTGTGGTGTTTCCAAGGCGAGCGCCCACATATCTTGGTGGAGCGGATGGTGGCGGCGCCAGTTTTAGTTGTGTTCTGGGCACACTGGCACGTTTTGGGAGGTGCAGAGCTGCACAGGCCAGCAGACAGTGACAAAGATGAGCGGTCGAAGCTGACGCTAGGCAAACCTACATACAAGTGAGAGAGGTGCCTGGCACTGCCTGGACAAGAATAGGGCCAGGGCAACGCGTCATGAAAGGACGCCAAGTGCGATAAGTGTGTGGTGGTGTAAAGGCTGTGTGGCGGGGCCATTACAGGCGGTTCCCAGAAGGATTTGCGCAACCGAGCATTGTGATAAATAAGGTGTGTGCCTCCGGGTCGGGAGTTTTTGAATTTTTCCTGTTCGACCTGATTCTCTTTTAATCGCTCGTTTCAACGCTGTTTTGTGAAACGACGTACTATTGGAGGCTCTTTTTCAAGTTCAGACGCTACCAGCCACCACCGTTTATTGCCGTTGTCACCACGATCAGCATCCATTTTCCGTTTACCGAAATCGGCACCGTCCCGGTCAAAGTTTTGCGCTTGGCCAGCATCGACTTGTCATTTTCGGCATCGAGTTTGGGGCAAGACAGTCGAGTGTCCGTAATCCGAACCAGTACTTACTCCGTACAGTCGGAATCTTTGCAAGGCGTGTTGCGGGTCGACGAGCCGTGTTGTCAGAAGGCGGCCCCGCCCAGCTCACATTGGAACCTTGTTGCCTTGCCGGCATTTCCTTTTGACTATTGGAAAGGAATTGAACCCAAACCGCCTGGCAACCGGCAAACTTGCACCCATCAATACTGTACCAGTCAACAGTCAACAAGTCAACAGTCAACCAGTTGTCTTTACTGCCTTGCTATCTTATCTAGCTAGGTACGAATACCGCTGCACCAGCCTGGATCCTGCAGCCTCTTGCAGAGCCACATCACGCTAGGACACCCGCAAACGACGCCACCACCACTGCACTACGAACACGCTGCAACCCACACGACTTTATCATCAGGTACTCCTCGACCTGCTTTGGTGTATTTCGTCCAGCAAATCAAGCTTCCAAGACTCTGCGCATACCGATTATCCATCTAGGTACCCAAAGCCGTGCCAGGTACCTGCAAGCCTCTCTATCTTCGTCCGCCTGCAGCCCGTACAAGTCTGTAGCTACTCACTCGGCTGCCACGGCGACGGCTTTTTCAAGACACTCACCTACCGGTCCTTACCAGTTCTCCTGGTTGGTTCAAATACCGTATACGGTATACGCCATACGGTATACTTCCCTACATACGTCAGTCGGGTGGCAACTACTACTACTCCCATCGCAACTCCCCAGCATCTTGCACCTCTCCTCTTCTCGTCGTTCGCCATCGTCTCTTTCATCCCATCAGCAGCATCTTTTCATCAATTTGCCGCCCTCTACCATCTTCCACCCACCGTCCCGCCAGCTGCCGCCTTTCAGCCCTGGCATCCCATTTTTTTTCTTCCTTCTTTCTTTGCGCCGTGGCCCACCTGCTTGCTCTACGACTGATCCCCCCAACCTCCTCCACCTGATCCCAGCTGCTCGCTCGCCAACCATCGATTTTGTCCACCAAAGAGTCTGTCTGCTCCGCCCAAAATCCCACTCTAATTACCATATCAAATTCACATACGCACTCGGGCCTCCCATCGTGCGCCGTTGATACTTTCGATCGCTCGATCCACTCGAGCCCGACAGCCCCTTGGACATTTGGCGGGCCCTGTCCAGCCGGCAACGCCCATCTCAGCCCAGTTTCCAATACTTGCGCCGCCCCCAGTCTGTCGTCATGGCTTCCCCGGCGGGTCAACAGCATTTCTCCTCGCCCCAGGACCAGCGCCAGCAACCTCCCGGTGGCTTCCAATATTATCAAAACGAACACGCCAAACCGCGCAGCTTCAGTGTTGGCTCTGAAACTTCCAGAAAGTCCCACAAGTCTCAAAAGAGCTCAGCCTCGCAAAAGGAATACGAGACATCGGCCGAAAAGGAAACCCATCGTCTGCACTCCAAGGCTGACCCGCTCGTCGCCATGTATGAGGCAGAACCATGTGAGTAGATCTGTCTCGCCTCTATCCTCACGGAACCCTGCTGATGGAAAAAAAAGCAATGGTTGCCGCCATGGCACCAGACACCAATACGGCATCATTGCGTTCGTTTCAGCACAAGGACATTCAAGGAAATCCTATCGGTATGTTTGCTCTTTTCTGTCGCTGCCCGTTGTACTAACACCTTCAGCTGACCCCGATCGTTCCAATCCCACTCGATCGCGCTGGGAGCGACCGCTTGATACTATTCGTAGTTTTGAAGCAGCTATCAATGGGGGCTATCAGCGTCGCTCCTCTGTCCAACGGGATGATGCGGCCAACTGGAATCGTCGCACCAGCATGTCGACTTGTAAGCCACTTCATTTTCCTCCATTCTTCGTCAAAATGGCTAACAAATTAGTCCAACAACCTCGCTTCCCTCAAGATAGCTACTACGGCAACAGCCGTCCCGGCTCATTTCGCGACCCCTACACTGCTCCTAGCACTCGTCGCAACTCGGGCTTCTTTGACGGCCAAGGCTTTCGCCCTCCTCGCAGAGAATTTGAGCAGAATGTCTATCCTTTACCCAACAAGGACAGATCCTACGAAACTGTGACTTCGGCCGCCAACAGCGGGCATACGGACCCCGCTGGATATCAAACCGATCCTACAAGTAGTGACAATAGTTCGATCCGGCGCGCGTCCCCGGCCAAGCGCCAGGAACCCGTCAACGACTATGGCATTGGCTTTGCCCACCAGTCATCCAATCTCGCCTTCCAACACTCGCAGCAACAGGCGCACCCGCTCCCACCGCCCCCTGTCGCCGGTCACGAGCCAGCGCCCCCTGTTCCACGCAAAACCAGTTTTCTGAAGCGGCAGCCTACCGAGGAAAAGAGAAAGAGTTGGCTGTCGCGTCGTTTTAGCAAGAAGTAATAATAATTCGCAATGTGCATGGTCGGCGTTGGTAGCGTGCTAGTTAATTTATGAGAATTATTCTTTGGTTTACGCGGCCTAATGAAAGTTCATTGCAGTGTTTTTATTGCCATACAATTTATTCAGTCTTCTTCGCCTTGGCCTTGACATTCTCCGTGTCGTCCTCATTCATAGCCACTATCACATAGCCCAGCAACACCACATTTGCCAGCAACGCCGCAAAACCACCCGCCCACGAAGAATTGCCTAAAATGTTAGTAAAAGCTAGTATAGATGATTGAAACCTTGCACCTTGAAAAATTGTGTGCACAGTCAAGAAATATGACCCGATTGGGACCACAATCATGGCCAGCGTAAAGCCCAGCAGCTTGACAATGACGTGTCTAGCCAGGTTAGTAAACGCGGCCCAGCCGCAAAGCACATCAAGCTTACTGTGGCACGGCAGGGCTAATGTTGCTCTTCTCATTCTCGGTATCATCTTTTTCTAGTATTGTCTTCTCGGACGCGTTGATTCGTCTTGTAGCCATTGCGTTGATGATGAAGATTGCTTTGCGGCGACACGCATCCTTTTTGCTCTCACAAGCTCATTGAGTTTAAGTACACACGTGACTACGTGATGACATCGCGCTTCAGTCGCGGATTACTTGGCAGTGAATTTTCACCCGCACGGCGAGCTGCTTTCGACTGAGGCACCTCGCCAATTTCGCCTCTAGCATTTTGCTCAATCTCAATCATGACAGACTCTTCTCCTCTTCTGCCAATTCGGGAGCTCATCGCTTGCACACCCGACCCCGAGCAGGCCACCATTCCTTGCTCCCCCGGTGCATTGATGAGAACAACGCAGCCCACGCAAATCCTGCCCCTCACTTCCTCGCCGAGCATCGTCGAGGTGCCCGCCTCCTCGCCCTTCTCAAAGCCGAAGCTTGGCTCGCGGCTCGCGCCCGCTGGCACGATTTTTCGTCCTCCGCCGCCTCGGCCACGGCCAGTGCCTTCTCCGAAGCGCCCCAACCCGGACACCATTTCGCTGCTCTCGGACGACGAAGAGGATAGCCTGCAGCCACCCAGGGGTGACATTAAACCGACGGACTTTAGAGCACGCGTATCCTCTTTTGCTTACAAGCCAAGATTGGACGATGGAGCGCAGAAGAAGAAACTAAAACAGGTCTTTGATGTATTGGGCAACAAAGTTACTCCGGAGCAGGTCCGCGAGGCGCTGCGCGCCTGCGACAATGATGTGGAGGATGCAATACAGCACTTGGAAGACCAAACCCGAAAGAAGAAGCGGCGGCTTGTGCAAGGGCGGCGGCCGAGCCTCATTTCACCCAAGAAGTCTTCGCCACCTCTCCCGTCCTCTCCACCGAAGCCACAATCACCTGTACAACAAGAGGTCATTCTTATAGAAGATGACGCGGATAACTATGAGGAAGAGGCCGAGTCCGCGACTGACGAAGACGACCGAGTTTTAGAATCGATCAATAATAGCACATTGCAAGAGCTTGCTGCAATGACTGGCATGAAGGAAAACATGTTGGATCCAATCATTGAACATCGGCCTTTTGCTGACTTGTACGCTGCCCGAAAACTCTCCATCAACAAATCAGGCTCCCGAAAGGGTGGACGGATCAGCATCGGCGAGACTGTCGTCGACGCCGTGCAAGTCTTTTTGAATGCTGTCGCAGCCATTGATGAGGTTGTCGCCACGTGCGACGCCAAGGCCCGCACCGTCAAGAGTGTTATGGACACTTGGGACCTCGATTCCTTTGGCCACTCCAAGAGCAGAAAATCTCCCGACGATGGGGCACCTCTGACACCCAACAGCATATCCAGCTTTGTGCCGCCTCTTGTGCCTCAACAACCTTCCCTGATGGATGGCCATTGCCGTATGAAGCCGTTTCAGCTATTCGGTCTCAACTGGATGACTCTTCTCAACAATTACGGCATTGGCTGCATCCTTGCTGACGAGATGGGTCTCGGAAAGACTTGTCAGGTCATTTCATTCATATGCCAGCTGGTTGAGTCGGCTGATGGGACGCAACCCTGGCCGAATCTTGTTGTCGTGCCGCCGAGCACTTATAACAATTGGTTGGCTGAATTCGAAAGATTTGCTCCCGGGCTGTCCGTCATTGGGTATCGCGGGTCGCAGCGGGAACGAGCTGAAATAGCCTACCAGGTTGAGCAGGATCTCGAGGCTTATCATGTTGTGCTAGCCACATACTCCCAAATCAATTCCGATGCTGATCTGGAAGCTATGCAATCTTTCCGCCTCAACGCCGCCATTTTCGACGAGGGACACAAGATGAAGAACCCGGAAACCAAGGTTTACAAGGATCTGCGCCGCATACCTGCGGCATGGAAGATGCTCCTCACTGGCACTCCTGTACAAAATAACTTGCTTGAAATGACGGCGCTCCTGAACTTTATCAATCCGCAAATGTTTGACGGGTACATGCAACACATTCTATACATTTTCAGCCAAAAGGTAACCATTCGCGACGTTTCAAATGGCGCTTTTCTCTATAGCGAGCGAGTCAAGCGTGCTCGCACGATTCTGGAGCCATTTATTCTCCAGCGCCGCAAAGATCAGGTTCTATCAGATCTACCACGCAAGATTTGCTCCACGGTACACTGCGAGATGACAGAGGATCAGAAACCAATATATACCGAGTACGAGGAATTGTTCAAGACTGCTCCCTCGCAGCGCAAATCGAGCGGCCGCCAAAATGACCAGAACAACGTGTGGATGCAGCTGCGCAAAGCTGCTCTCCATCCATTGCTCTTCCGCCGCCACTTTACAGATCGAGTCGTGACGAAGATGGCCAAGATACTTATGGACCGCGTTCCACAGTCGGAGCTGCACCAACCTGACATTAAGCACCTGATTCAAGAGCTAAAGAACTCGTCCGACTTTGAGCTGCATCTCTGGTGTCGGGACTACCCAATGCTGAAAGAATTCGACATCTTGCCGTCGTCACAGCTGAATAGCGGCAAAGTCAAGAAGCTGCTACAGTTAATTGGACAGTATCAAGCCAACGGTGATCGTGTGCTGGTCTTTTCCAAGTTTTCGCGCCTCATTGAGCTGCTGCAGGAAGTTCTCGCCAATCACGTCATCGACCACCGCGTGCTCATGGGCAGCACCAGCGTGTCGGAGCGCCAGGCTCTCATTGACGAGTTCAACCGCGACGCCAACATTCCCGTGTTCTTGCTGACGACGGGCGCGGGCGGCACGGGCATCAACCTGACGTCGGCCAACAAGATTGTCATCTTTGACCAGTCGGACAATCCGCAGGACGATATACAGGCGGAGAACCGCGCGCACCGCCTGGGCCAGACGCGCGATGTTGAGGTTCTGCGGCTGATTGCCGCGGACACCATCGAGGAGCTCATCTACAAGGCGTGCCAGAAGAAGATTGAGCTGGCCAACAAGGTGACGGGTGTCGACGGCGCGGCAGATGTGGGCGACAATTTGGAAATGGAGGTGCGGAAACTCATGAAGAAATAAGAGAGGGGGGGGGCAAAAAGTGTGCTTTTTATGGCATTAGTAAATATTATGGTAACATGAAGGAAATTCGGTTTTTCGCTTATGCTGATAGACTGGCTTTGCATGTTGGTTTTTCTTGGCTAGGTAGATTTGACGTTAGACACGCATTACTCACGCATTGGCATGAACAAGACAAAATATTCTACACAGAGGCAACGAACTTGAATGCATCACGGTGAACTGAAACCAAGGTGGCTAAGCGAACCTGAAAATGAGTTGAGTGAGAGGGCTCTGAAGCGTCGTTGAAGACGTATCTCCTTGACGCCCAGCTCAGCTGCATGCTTCTCTAAGGGGGGGGTTGTTCAGAACCACACAGCCATTCATCTCTGGCACAGCAAATAAGCGCCTCATCTCCCATCGCTCGTCAGCCGGCAGATGCGCTGATACTTCCCAAGGTGCTTGGTGCCTTTTGCGGTCGAGTAAGTAGTGTTGCTTCGGCAGAGTTAGCAATATCAAGTTTTGGTGGTGCGCGCCGGAACATTTACGACGCCGGCATAAAGAATGACTCCCTTTGATTTACATTGTATTAGTATGTCTTCAGAGAAGAGTAGTTGTACAAGTTTTTTTTTCGGTCCGTGCAAGGCCATCACCACATGGGCACCGGAGCAGCTTCCGTGGAAGCGGCCTGGACACAACGGCCAAAACGCCAACCTCCACGCTGTGAGCTTTTAGGGCTTTGTCATGGTGTTTGGGTGTAAATGGTCTCTACTGACACTCTGACTTGGCTGGGATACGTGTCAATGAATACGCTTGACAAACTGTATGCGAAATGCGTTTCAGTCAATTCGTTGCGGTGATATATGTATGAATGAGCATGAGCACGGGTACGTGCGCAGCTGTTAAGCACTATTTATCTGCTTCATCCACTCCATCATCACTCTGGCATCTCTTGTCCTCGAGGTAATACTTGAGCTTGGGCTCGGTTGCGTGGTCGTTCTTGTTTCTGTCATCAGCATACGCGAGCGCGTCGTCTCGAAAGACGTCAAGGTCAAAGTCCCACGCCCAGCCGCGCTCCTGTAGAGCCCGAAGGGCATTGACGGACCACGTCACGCAGCCCTGCTGCGGGTCCGTGTTCCGGACTGGCAGGGGCACCGCTTCGAAAAATATCTTGAGCTCCTCGGGCGTGACGCCTTCCGGGATCTCGCCGACGACGAGCTGTCCGAGCAGCTTCTGGCTAAGCTCCGGGTCCACGTTGAGGCGCGCGCGGAAGTGCCAGTCCATGGACGGGTTGTCCATTCGAAACGTGACTGGGTCAATCTCGGATATGTCGGTGGCCTCAAAGGCGTGCGCAACGCGCCCAGGGCGCTTCACTTTGGGCACGATGAGCACGCCCCAGTGGTATGCTTTGTGGCCAAAGACGGAGCGCATGCGGCCCTGGGAAAGGTTGCCCCTGTGGTAGAGCGTCAATGTGACAAGCTGTGCCATGCTGTTAGATTTCGCTAGCGGCGGTACTGAAAAGATGTGAAAAGTCGCAGGAGATCCGGCAAGTGAGCGCGGTAATGAATTAGATGGGGAGAATAACTTCCATGTTTACCGTGGTACAATCCGCGAGCGTGAATTATAAGGTACAGTAGACCCCGCAGTTGGAGACAGGTTGTGTTACTTAACTCAGCAGCACTCTGCAGAGAGAAGGCATCGGAAAGGCGTCGATGGCGCAGTGAGCTGCTTGTAGGGTTTTGGTTCGCATCCTGCAAGCAAGGCTGGGCTTACATGTGGCTACCTGCACTTCTGCGGTAGCCGGCCAAACCTGGAGGATTGATTAGTAGTCAAACCCCACTGTCGAGTCATCTTGCACGCAAAGAGGAGCACTAGAAGCCAGTATATTTGACGCGAGAGGAGAAGGGGGAAATTGCAAATATTCGCCCGAGACCTGACATGTGAATGCCATTTGAAAAGGGCCTGGCGTAGAGGCTGGCCATAGCTTCCATTCATCGCCCTGCTCAGCCTAATACCATATGACAGGGAAATCAACACAAGGAATAACTAACTATTATGCGAATAGCTCCGGGTATAGTTTCATAGTACAGGACCAAAGATCATTTGCTTGTGATTTAAGCCTTGCCTCAAGCCAAGTTGCTGAAGGATATGAGCCCGGATGAATGTTGACCTTCCCGCGGAAAGAGCTTGTCATTGCTGTTCCCGGCTCTGGTAACCTCGTCCAGAGAATTTCTTCTGCTGTCAACTCCAAGTCATACGGAGGAATCGCTGTGCGCACATTGTCCACCCAGTCCTCTTCGAGGATGACATAGTGCGCCTTTGTAAACTCCCAGTAGACGGGGTACCAACCCGCGTATGCCCAGTCGATTATGGCGGCAATGTCGCCCCCGCGCACGATGATGTTTCGCGCGGCGAGATCGGCGTGCGTAAACACGGTCTCGTAGCGCGACGTGTGCACCTGCCGCACCTCCTCGCCTAGGAGAGGCACGTCCTCCATGACCAGCCGGCCGCGCGCTAGCTCCTGGAACGAGTCCACGCTCATCGGCCCAAAGAAGCGCCCACCGATGCGCCCGTCGTGGGCCGGGTTTCCAAAGGCGGACGACACCAGACCCGGTGAGGGAGGAGGCAAACTGCGCAGCTCCTCGACGTGCCGTCTGAGCTGACCAAAGATTCTGGCCTTGTCGCCCGCCGACAGCTCGGGCAGGGCCCAGGACAGGGTGTGGCCCTGCACGTACTCCATCTCAATGTATATAAAGCCACTCTCCGTAGTGTGTATCTTGTGCACCTTCGGTATAGGGATAGACGTGTGCGCGGCGACATACTGCATCGCTTCGACTTCTGGGGGATCGCAGGGCCCCTTGATGAGCCGGTGCCAGCTCACGCGCACCGCCTTATCCATTATATCATGGTGGAAAAACCGCCGTCCGAACCAGAGCCGCAACCGCAGGGGAAACAATGTCCCTATCGACAGGCCCATTTTCGTGTACAGCTGCAGTTAGAGTGGCAAAAGCTATAGTTGGAGAGAGTATGGTAGCGGCTCACAATGTCGCAACCTCTCTGCCTGACTAAGCGAAGCTCGCTTCCTAATTTAGGCTAAATTACCCCCCGGTAAGTATTTCTAACGCATCAGGTATCAACGTCTTGTAAAGGCCTCTCCTTTTATTTTGTGTGTGTGTGTGTGTGTGTGTGTGTGTGTGTGTGTGTGTCACGTACCTTTCTTCAGTTACTTACATCT